AAGAGAACTTCCCAATCATAGAAAGAGCAGCTGTAATCTTTTGTAGTTACAGCTAAACCCTTATATCCGGGGGAGAAAAAAGAGAACTCTTTATTTCAATTTTAATCTTACTCAGATTCTTCCCTCTAATTTGATTGACAGCTTAATTCTTGCSTACTTTTGAACCAACATTGGTTTTAAGGAAAATGCTAAATTTTGATGCTGGATGTCTGAATTAATTATCCCCTCCAAACAACAACAACTGATTGATATGATTAGATTATTGGAGCTGATCCTTGAAGTCTTTGGGAGGTGCAAAATGGATATTGAGGATCAACTACTTTATGATATACCTCTACCAATTAAACTATTTTCCCACAACATTATTTCATTATTTAATATATAATCACACACAGGACACACACAAACACACACACACACACACACAAACACACACACATACGAAGAGAGAGAGAGAGAGAGAGAGAGAGAGAGAGAGAGAGAGAGAGAGAGAGAAAATGTTTTTTTGCAACAAAAAGGAACATTTTTGGCAACCCATTACATTGTGGGCTGATGTAAATGTTGGGGAGATCTTTCTTTATTAAATAGAAGTTTCTCCTTGTAACATACATTGTTCCTATTTGGCTTAGTTAATTATGAAGTGGATACAATAATTTTTTAATTTCTCATTTTCCATTTCCAAATATGTTTAGTCATGTCTTATATAGTACTTCTTAAAATTATGTATCCTGTCTCCCTAATGTCATATGGCTGAAGAAGTTGCATTTTCTATGAGGTTCACATTATGCTCTTTTCTAAGATTTACAGATTTATGACTACAGGTTGTTCAAATATAAGTCTCTTTATAAAATAGCTTTACTTGAGGAAATGATGTAAATACAAAAATAGAAAAAAATTTTTAAAGTATGAGCCATGGTAAACATTTTTAAAAAAAAGTTGGATATCTTCTTTCATGCTTTCCTAATTGCTTTTGATTTTTTCTTTTTAATTATTATTTATAATTTATTTAAAAAACTTTATTTATTTATTATTTCTTATATGCATCACAACAGAGGAGTGCATTACATTCATAATTTTTTTGCATTGCAATTCTTAATATGCTTTTATACCATAATTTATCAAATCTCTGTTTGTATATAAGGTATATTGAAACCAAATTCACTTCTTCATACATAAATTTTGTATAATGATAACCATCTCCTTCCACTATCCTTACTATTCCCATTCTCCCTCCCTTTTCCTCCCACCCCTATTCTCTATCTAGAGGTAATCTTTCTCTCTTGCTCTCCCTCTCAACCCTATTTTGAGTCACCCCCCTTAAAACATTTGGCATTTGTTTTTTTTGGAATTGGCTAACTTCACTTAGCATAATCTTCTTTAATGCCATCAATTTCCCTGCAAATGCCATGATCTTATTATTTTTTAGTGCTAATATTCCATTGATTTTTTTATCTATGCTATTTTTGCATTTGATATGAATTCAATTAAACATTCACTGAGAAATTAAGAAAGGTACTGAAAAGGTAAAAGTTGAATAAGATGGTGTCCTTTTTTCTATTAGTAAAGAAAGATCTCTGATTTACTAATAGTAATACATGAAGAAGGAATATGTACTACTTACAGGTAGAGGTGACATACTGTTGAAGAAAATATTTATTTTATACCTAAATAGATAAAATTTTAGAAAAATATTTCTTTAAGGTCAATTTTATAACTGAAAACAATATGATAGCATTAAATGGTATTCAAAAACAGCCAATACTTGGACACAGCCACATCAGTGTTTATAGCAGCACAATTCATAATAGCTAAACTGTGGAACCAACCTAGCCCCTTCAGTAAATGAATGGATAAAGAAAATATGGTATATATACACAATGGAATATTATTCAGCATTAAAAGAGAATAAAATCATGGCATTTTCAGGTAAATGGATGGAGCTGGAGAATATAATGCTAAGTAAAGTTAGCCAATCCCAAAAACCAAATGCTGAATGGTTTCTCTGATTTAAGGATGCTGATTCATGATATGCTGCAGGGAGGGGGAGTGGTAGTGGGAGGATTAAATGAACTCTAGATAGGGAAAAGGGGAAAAGAGGAGGGAGGGGAAAGGAGGGAACATAAGGATAGGAAAGACAGTGGAATGTAATGTTCATCATTACCCTAAGTACATGTATGAAGACATGAAGGATGTGACTCTACTTTGTGTACAACCAGAGATGTGAAAAATTGTGCTCTATATGTGTAATATGAATTGTAATGCATTCTGTTGTCATATATACCAAATTCAAAATAAATAAATAAATAAGCTTTTCACTGATGGACCACCTTAAAAAAATAAAAATAAAAAGAACTGTAGAAGGCCTCATATACCGTTTTTGGCATACCTTTTACAACGTGGAATAAGTTCAAACAATAAATAAAGTAAGCTATTTAAAATTATAAATAGTGAAGGAACTGTCCAAAGTTTTAAATAATCATACATCTCTTAATTTTATTCTTCTTGAATGAAATATTTTAGAGTTTAACATTCTACAGTTTTTCATTGAAGCTTCTTTAATATGAGTGCCTAATCTTTTACTTTTTTTTGAAACTCAAAGGTTTGTTTTCGACCTTGGCTCTCACCTTAATAACTCAGCTACTTAGTAGAATCTTCTCTGTCTCCCCTAAAATTTTTATATAAAGAACAAGCCACTGTAAAATTTCTAAAATCTACATGGATACTTTATCTTTCTGTGTTTTGGTTTTGATTTTCATGCTTTAATTGCGCATATTAATGGTGTTTGTCAGTATGTTTTTCATTGTTAAAATCCAGCCTTCTCTTACTCACTGTCCTCTAAAGTCCCACCCTCTAGTAATCATTACTCTTCTACATTTAGGTCAATTTTCATCTTGTTTTCTCTCATGTGGAAACAATTGATATTTTTGTCAAACACAATTATTGATGTAAAATCACTGTTAGCTTTATCATAATTTGAACCAATTAAGTTCTGTTACCACCTTCTCAATGAAACCACTTATGTTTCAACAGATTTTTATCTGTTCCATGTTTTTTATCATGTACTTATAGCATATAATATTTTATATATTTCCCTGTCAGTTTTATATATTGTGTGTCCCTGCTTTTTCCCCCTAGAATATAAATTTTGTGAAGCCAGGCTTTTTTTTTTTTTCCCCTTTGAGTTTTGTTAATTTCTCTTTCTACAGTGTCAAGGAGAGTAGCTGGCAAATAGTAAGTACTCATGTGTATTTTYGAAATGACTAAATGAAAAGTCTTGAAATCTACCTCTAGGATAAAAGAAATGGATGCAAAGCTGTTTATTATGAATTGAGGATATAGTGAGTGAGTGACTCAAACTGGTGTCTTGGCAGTGAAATTGGCCCAAGAAAATACTATGTTTGGCTTAACAAAAAGTTTTTAAGTTTTAAATTTTATTTCCTTTGGGAAATAAAAGCAGGAGTGGTCCTCATTACTCTTTATTTTCTCTTACCCTGATTTACACATTGTTGTTAACTATTTGCAATCATTTGAGTTCCTGGTCCCCTATATGGTATTTTGAAAATGCATGACATACTTAGGTCAGATTTATGGAGTTTTTTTCTTGATATGAGCTTGAGAAATATAGGTAACTCATGGGTGGTAAAATTGGTAAGACAGTTTTAGTCCTTTGTATACCCTGATAATACTGTACTGATATTTGGATTTCAGTCAGTGGAGAATGGGGAGAAAGGAGCAATGTGATGTGTACCTCAGAGTTTAGTGACGGGTGATTTTTTACTCTATGATGGTGTGGATGGTTATACTACAGAAGAGTAAGAAAAGATTTGCGTACAAAGATATGATTTCAACATCTGAATTTAAATTATTTGCTTTAGGAAGGACATTTTTTTCTACCTTAATATATTTGTCTGAAATTATGTCATGGGATAGTATTGTCCAGTTAAAATATATGCAGCTTAAAATATTTTAGTGAAAAGATCCAGTAAATTAAAAAAAAATTTAACCTAGTATATGCAAAATATTATCATTTTAATGTACATTTAATAAAAATAAATAAGGTTTTCTTATTTTGATACTAAATATCAAAATCTGTATACATCCTTATAGCACATTTCAATTGGAATTAGCTACATTCTATGTGCACAGTTGTCATGTAGAGCTAATGGCTACTGTATTTGACAGTGCAAATTTAAAGTTTGGTTTGACTTTTGGCAATGGGGTCTATCATTTATCTAAATACTCTCCATATTTGTGATGGCAACTGACAATTTCTTAAGGGAACACTCAGCRCAGGAGTAGTGTTATATGAAGCTGTAGAAGCAAAAGTTATCATCCAAGGAGTATATTTCTAGAGAAAAAAAGAGGCAAATAATTAATATTTAGGCATAGGTCATTAAGGAATAAACTGAGTATCCTGAAAGCCGAATGAGAACAGTGTTGGCAGGAAGGACAGATGTTTTAATAAATTGTGAATAGATCAGAAGGGTTTATGTTAAAGCAAGATGTATTGGATTTATCAATGTGGAACTCATTTGTAAGTTTTGAAGGAAGGATTCAGTGGAATGGTGAGGCCAGTGTATTTTCCTTATGGTTTATAGCTAGTTTAAGTGAAAGCACTTCTTATTTCCAATGTCTGTTTCCCCCATTATTATGATAATTATTTCACTCTTAATTTCTGTGTCTAAGATCTCTTGTTTGTAATTTTCTAAATTCAATTTATACCTTAGTTTTAGCTGGAGCGAACAGTGAGTTTATTTAACCTGATTTATTTACTGTAATTATTCTAGAAAAGGCTTCAAATAATGAACCATCACTCAAAAATTCTAAACTACAACATTTTCTAATATAATTGCATTTTTAATAATAAAGAAAATATAACATTTTGTATTTAAACTGTTAGGGGTAGTTTCAAAAATTAATATAAACTTTTGCTTTATCAGCAATTACACAATTTGATATTTACAGATATTTTCAATAGAATTTCTGTTTTCTTCCCTTAGTCATCAAGGGTTCATATAACTAGAGCTGTCTTGGAACAATTTTTATCCTTTGCAAAATACCTTGATGGTTTATCTCATGGAGCACCTTTGCTGAAGCAGCTTTGTGATCACATTTTATTCAACCCAGCCATCTGGATACACACACCTGCAAAGGTATGAATTTTATTCTGATTCAAAAGTAAATTTAGTGTTATAAATTATAGTTACTGGATTTAAAGTATCTAGTTTAAGCCATTTTGAATTTTGGATTTACTTTATAGTCAACCCAAGGCAGTTGTGTTAGTACAAAGATGTAAATTTTAAATATGTAAATACTAAAATAGATGAAAGTATAGTTAAACATTAAGCTTGGTGAAACACTGTTCTGATGTTATTAGATGTGATTCATCCTTTCTAAGGAAGAAGATTTGATACACTGATAATTGTAAGGCTAGGAGAATAAAACAGATATCTAATTGTATCATTAACATTATGATCATTTTGGCTGGAAAATTACTTTCATTTTGAATGTAGAATTTATATCATAGCCATTAAATAACATCTTTAATGAAGAATATACATAAAATAAATATTTTTCTAGAAATTAGCACAATTTTCATTATTTTGAATACCTGAATTTAGTCTTGTTATATCTTAATGGAAATCAATGAGGGATATTTTAACTTTGATTCTTTTACAATTTTAAAATCTCCCATATACCTGGTTACATAATGTTTAAGTTCAGATTTTTATTACAGTTCATCTTATTTATTTGTCTAAACCCAAATCTGAAGTTTCTTCACTCTTTTTTTTTTTGGGGGGGGGAGATTGAACCCAGGGATTAAATTCAGGGGCATTCAACCACTGAGCCACATCTCCAGCCCTATTTTGTATTTTATTAGAGACAGGGTCTCACTGAGTTGCTTAGTGCCTTGCTTTTTACTGAGGCTGGCTTTGAACTCACTATCCTCCTGTCTCAGCCTCCAGAGATGCTGTTCACTCTTTGTAACAAGGTGTTTTACCTGCTGTCTGTATGCTCAGAGGGTCAAATTTCAAAAGCCAGCTATATAGTATGGAAATTGGAACAAAATTTGAACTTCATGAACTTTTAGAATATATGATAACAATATATATTTTTCAGAGTTACTATAGCTGATTGACATTCATTCTATTCCTTTGAAGATTTGTATAAACTAAGAGTTGCTGAATTGTACTTATTTATAAGAGTGTTGGTCTAATTCACTTTTAAAATAATTTTGATTTTCCTGTCACCATTTGTTTTAATTAAATGTTCAAAGCATTTAAAATTAATTTGTCAATACCTAATTACCTTTTTTAGTTAGATTATTAGGTAATGTACATTGCCTTTATATAAACAAGTTTTATTAGAATGTTGGTTTTTATCATTTTCTTCTAAAAATTTAACACTGTTTAAGAAAAAGTTAATTTTATACTCACAATAAGTGATTATTTTTTTTGGCTTTTGCGAGTTTGTATATKAATTGAAACAGAATTTATCTTATAAGCACTTGAGCCATTTTAAACTTAATGGTCTTATTATACTGTATTAGGTTCAACTTTCCCTATATACTTATTTGTCTGCTGAATTTATTGGAACTGCTACCATCTACACCACCATACGCAGAGTAGGAACAGTATTACAGCTAATGCACACATTAAAATATTACTACTGGGTTATTAATCCTGCTGACAGTAGTGGAATTACACCAAAAGGATTGGGTAAGTACACCCCTACGACTGTGTTTGCACTTCCCTGTATTGTTATATATCCTGAGTACTACCATATTGAACAKATGTACATGACTATAAAATTATCACTAAACTATTTTCTTTCTAATGAAGTAGACTGGTATATTGAGAATTGTTTATGGTTAAGAAGAATTTTATTGCCTTTTAGTAGTAAACTATTTTGGAATGAAGTTAATTAAAAATAAGCAATAGTCTTCATTGTAACTTACATTTTTTTTTTTAATTTTTGTTCCAATATTAAAAACCAGTAAACATACATACAGGTTATAATCAGTGTGTTCTAGTATGTTTGCTTTCAGCATTTCAGATTGTTAACCTTTTTTTGTGCTTTTTCAAATTTACACTATGTTCTAAGTGTAATAGAGACTAATTCTTCACAGTGTTTTTTTAATGTTTAAAAATTACAGTCAGCTTTTCTAACTATACAAAAAATATACAACTATAGAAAATAAAATAATATTAGAGGAAAAGATTTATTCATGACCCAAACCACAGGAATGAATATTACAAGGTTGTGAAGTTTTCTTCCTCCGTTTCTCTTTGCATAAATATGTTTTACCTCTTTGACATAATTGAGAGTTTTTTCCTATTTTGTCATTTTTTTTCTCAAGTCCTTATATTTACATTGTTTCTTAAGTCTATTATGTAGAGTAATTCACTCTTTTGTATATACTTGTTTACCTCTATCTTTGATTTGTTTAAAATTACTGATAATAAATATTTTTAGTTATTTTCAGAAATGTCTTAATCGTTTATAATGTAGTAATATGACATAGGGTGGTAGAGGGCTTTCCTTAACATGCTCACAATAACATTGACTATTACAGTTTTATATCAGTCTTTTAGATAAGGGAAATAACATACTATCTTAACATTTAATGTAAGTTTTTTATTTTATGGATTGGGCTTTCAAAATTGCTTTTTACACTTGGACCTACTTTGTCCTTTATAGCTTTCTTTTTTCATTGCTTTTAAGTTGATAATGCTCAAAATTTATTGCTTACCATTTGTTAGATTCTCTGCTTAGATTTCTACATGTTAATTTGTTTTATAATTTGTAATGTAATTATATGTACATATTCAGATATATAAATAAAATTATATCTAACTGTGTTAATGTCATTTCATTTTACAGGTTAGGAAACTGAAAGCATTGAAAGTTKAATCATATATGTTTAACTCAGAGCCATTGTTCCAAAACTTTGTAGTATATTTTTTACTACAAATTACATTCATACATGTTAATTTCTGCTTAAACCATTAATTTCTAATTACAAAAAATTTGCAAGAGTTATACAAAGAGTTCTCAGATCTCTCACCAGATTTTCCAATATTTTAAATTTTACCTCATGGGCTATATTAGTCTCCATTTTCTCTTTTAATGAAACACTCATGTGCATACATACTTTTTTTCTGTTTCACTTAAGATTAAATTGTATACATGATGCCTCCTTATCACTAAAAAATTATCAGTGAATTTCTTAAAAGGTAAAGGTATTCTGTTAAATAATGATGGGGTACCCATTAAAATAGGAAAATAGAATTAGTATGATATACTCCAAAGACCCCATACAGATTTTGTCAATAATCTCAATATTTTTCTCAGGAAAAAAAAATCAGTGTGGAATAGTTCCTTTAGTATTTCCATGACTTTGGCATTTTTGAAGAGTACAGACACGTTATTTAGAATGCTTCTCAGGTTGGATTTGTTTGATATTTGTTTGTGATGATTCAGGTGTTTCATTTTTTTCAAGGAGTAACACAGAACTAATTTCTTTTCTGTCTCATTGTATTATGTCAAAATGGTTGTCTTGGCTACCAGTGATGTTAACTTAGAATATTTGACTAGGATGAGTTTTCAGTGTGAAATTATTGTTTTTGCCTCTGTAACTTATAGATATTTAATGGAGAAATACATTTAGACTAAGACATTTTTTTGGTTTACATATTACTATAGGGAAAAACTTGTTTTTATTATCCTTTTATTTAAATTTTTTTTGTATCAGTCTAATCTCAGGCATTTCCATTTTATTCAATGTGTTATATCAACATTTGGCATGGATTTTGCAAAAAAATAGCAATTAGGTTTATGTTTTCATAAAATGACTCTGTTACAAGTAGTCAGCACTACCATTTCATTGCAGAGATAACCACGTATGTAAACTAATGGGTATGACTTGTTCCAGTGAGACTTACAAAAACATGAGGCATGATAAATTTGGCCCTTAATTTTTAGTTTGTCAGTCCTCTGTTTTATATATAAGCTCAAATTCTCAGATTTGGCCAGGCAGTCCCTTCACATGGAGTTTTGGGTCTTTATGATAAATATCCATAATTGTGTAGTGCTTTTTTTATTTTCTGGCATGAGATGTTCTGGGTTCATATAATACTTTCCTTGTCCCAGTCCTGGAATCATAATTATTTTTCCAAAGAACCCTGGTTTGTGGTATGTATTTTAGAAACCAAGATCTTATGTTAGGTGTATATTTTGCTCCTTGAATGTCATTGATTCTTGATATTCTTAGTGGACAGATCTAGGAATATGTTTATATCTATGTATAGAATATTTAGACACATAGACACACATAGACACACACACACACACACACACACACACACACACACACACATCCCTATTAGAAATGTCAGTCCACACCAATACATTCTAGTCTAAAATCGTGATGACTCAATCTAGCATCAAACTTTATTTTGAACTTTCTTGTTCAATAATGAGAAGTCTAGGTCCCCTTATCTTTAATACATGTATATATTTTCTTATTCTATTCTGTTAAACCAATGTTTTATCATATATTATCACATTCTTACTTTTAGCATTTTCATAACGGTCCTTATTGCCTCCTCAGTCCCAATTGTTTCTTTGACACTGATAGTCCTACTTTTTCTTCTTGGTCCCACTATCTCTGATGGTATTGCCAGATTTAGTTATCGTTTTGGCTTTGTCGAGTATATTGGGAGTCTCCTTGGCCTTTGCTGCCTCTTCAGGGTCCCAGCCCCTGATGCATCACTGGCTCCAACTGTCTCAAGAAGAGGGAAGGGAGAGAACCAATAAATATATTTTAATGAAGAGTGACAGTTGCCCGGTCCCGTGATGCATTCTGGTTATCCCAGCAGCTCCTGAGGCTGAGGCAGTAGGATTGTTAGTTCAAAGCCAGGTCAGCTATTTAGGGAGGCCCTGTTGCTAAATAAAAAATAAAAMGGGGTGGAGATGTAAATCAGTGGTTAAGTGCCCCTGAGTTAAATCCTTGGGGTGGGGGGAGTTAAAAAAAAAAAGAGTTGACAAAAAAGTACAAAAGCATTTCTTTTTCTTTATAATTTGTTCTTAAATAACAGTTGTTCTGCAGTTAATTTTATTATTTGACAGACTGTGAAGTTCTGTTTTGAAATATATAGTTTTCTAAATGATAGCTTTTTTCAGTGGCATGTTGAACTAAAATATTTTCCTTTATGAGCACAGAAGAAAATTTGTATTACATTAAATTTTCATATAAATGTTATTCRCGTATAGGCAATTGGCTAGAGAAATAGGATCATTTTGCTTTGATATGACTTAACATTTTTGCCTCAGAATTTATTTTTTATAGCTCACTATAAAAACTTATATATTAAAAATATCATATAGTAGTACGTGTTTGTGGTAGCAAGTGAAATAACAGTTTATCAGTGTGAAAATTTTTTTCCATTTTTTCTGTTCATATACACATGAATGTATACCTAAGTGTTTCAAATTATAGGTGCTTCAGAAATTTACTTTGAAGAGGTCGTAGACATATATTCTTACCTATACATAACATTTATAAATTAGATATTTTAATATGAATATATAAAAATAATATTATTTTTATAAATACATATTTTGTATATATTTATGTAATATATGTGGGTATGTATATATGATCAGGTTTATGATATCTTTAAAAATGTATATTTTATATATATGAATATATGTGTGCACATGTAAATTCATATATGTAAAGCATATGAATATTATTTACACACATGCACATGTATTCATATATATATATATATATATATATATATATATATATATATATATATATATATGAAATAAACCTGAAGCTTAAGAATTCTATACTAAGAGAATTTATATCTCCATCTATGGTCTCCCTTTTTCATTGCCTGGCATACTAGATATAGCCGCATTCTGTATTTTATGTTTATTACTGCTTTTCTCTACTTGAGCATTTAACTATTTTTTTTAATTGTGCTTCATTTCAGTCTTTTACTAAGTATATATATATATTCCTAAACAACTTACTACTTAGGATATAGAATATAAAATATAGTATACTAAGTATATATATATTCCTAAACAACTTACTATTCTATATTTCGTATATATGGTATAATTTGTGATTTGTTTTTTAATTTCATATTTGCTAGAGTAACCCATTTGCATGAATTTGATTCATGACAAATGTATAGCAAACACATAAATATATATTTCTCCGCAATTTGCTATTTGCATTCTGAAATAAAAGGCAAGAATAATTTTATCTAACATTTACTGAGTGCTTACCATTAAAACTGTCAACACTCTGTTCTTATTCCTTTACATATATTGACATGTTTACTCCTCACAAAATGTTCTATGATGTAAGCAATATTATTATCATTATTCCAACAGTAAAGAAAAAATACACCTGAGCACAGAAATACTATAAAACTTGTCGAGTTTTACTAAGTGGTAGGAAAAATAAAAGTAAGTTAATTATTGCTAAGAAAATAGCTGTCTCTACAGGGAGAGGAATGAACAATGTAATCAGGAAGATGATGTGACACAGAGCTGAGCCCAGGAGTAGGGTAAGAGACTGGGCAATCTGATATCATATCACAGATAATAATGAAATATTCAGGAATTTTACAAAACTATTGTTAAGCAGTTGGTAGCTTGGACTTAAAATCAGTCATGGTGGGAGTATTTATAAAACAGAAATCACAAATATGAATATGCTTATAAATCAGCATTTCCATCCCTGCAACTCTGTATGCACTTCCCATACCAGTACAACAATGGTTGGTGTGTTTCCCTATCAGGCTACTGTTAGTGTTCAGTTTCCAACCTCAATAGTTGTTATATAGTTGTTTTATAATAATTCATTAAGTTGTGCATTTATACTTTATGTGCACTATATTTTATGAGACTTTTTTGAAAACAGTATACTAATAACTGATAAGAAGGGAAAGGTACTTAGTGTACTCTTGGTAGGAGTAGGGCAAAAAATGTGGAGAGTATTCTGAGAAATGGAGATGTGTCTTAGTAATAGGTGGAATGGATTGTTAGGGTGGTGATTTGCTTGCAGTTTAATAATATGCATGTAAATATTTGTTGGGTAGATAAGAAGATTGTATAAATTATAAATGCAGGGATTATAATTTAAATACTTAAAAAGCAGCTATATAAATCCTGGTTGCTTCAAGAAAGACAATATTTTAAGGGTTTTCATGAGCCTTGCTATTTTTCTTAAAAGTATAATTTAACTATTGTATGTTATGCATGTTATATATATCACTTCATATTCTTAATTTTTTGGAAATAAAATTTATAATTATTTAAAAATTTTGGCWATATGTTGGAACTGATAATGTACGCTTTAACTTTTTACCTTCATTTTCATCTATCGATTCCACATTTATCAGATGCCTACTGTACTTTTTATTGTATATATGTACATGGAGGAAAAAGGCTACAAAAAAATAATCATGATAAAGTAGAATACTATTTCTGTGGGGTGAAAATGGAGAGTCTATAAATGGAAAAAAAAGTTTAATTGAGGATGGAATAAATTTTGGGAAATGTRGTAAACTAATAAAAAGTATAAATGTAAATATTTGGTTATTATGCAGTTATCCATGGATAGTAATATATTGAAAGTTTTTWAAAAAAAAACTTTCTTCCCATTCTGACATTTAGTGAATAATTTGTATTTTTAGACACTCTGATATTATGGAAATTGATTAGGATTAATACTGATATTATAATTTTAATAAGTATAATTATTAATGAATTCCATACTATTCCAACATAATTGCATTAAGCATAGTTAATATTGTGGAATTTTTTTCTTTCTTTTTCTTATTCTAGATGGTCCCCGGCCATCACAAAAAGAAATTATATCACTTCGGGCATTTATGCTGCTTTTTCTGAAACAGCTTATATTAAAGGTAAAATAATTTTACATAATTCAGAATGATAGTATATTTTATGGAAGGGAACTTTTGGCATATTTTAAAATGATTATCGTTAAATTAATAGTGTCTATGAATTGCTTTCAGAGTTTTGAAATTTTGTGTTAACTTTTGTTTAATAACTTGGTTAAATGCTCTGAGAAGCTTCTTATTAAGGAATGTGTCAGAAAGGGGTAAGGGTCAGATGAGTTGTAACTGAGTAAATATATCATTCTGGAAAACTGTCTTTGTTTCAGGTTAAGAAACCTTGCAAAAAAAATTGTGTATTTTATTACAGTATGAGTTTTTAAAGGTTAATTTGAAGAGAAAGGGAAAATAAAAGCAAAATCACAACAGTATACAAAAGTTGATAAAATAAACTGTTGTATTTGTACTTTTTTAAGGAAGTAGTCATCACAGATACTGAATACAGTTGGTGATATCCTAACTGTTGATAGTGTCAAGTAATTTGATAGCTTTTTAAAAATAGATATGATTTTCCAAATATTTACTTATGTAACTTGAAATATGTCTGTGAATTTTGAAGTATTTGGTAATTTTAATTAAAATATCACTGCTTATAAGGTTTTACTTTCTTATAAAATAGTTATTTTTATGCCTTTCTTTAAAGTTATTATTTTATATTTAAATTAAGTAATATAATATTTTTTAAAAATTAGGACCGAGGGGTCAAGGAAGACGAACTTCAGAGTATATTAAATTACCTTCTCACAATGCATGAGGTAGGACATGTTATTGGTCTTTTAATCATTTTATTCAAAGCTTTAGAGAATAATTTTAACTAAATATTTATGATTCTTATTATGCAGGATGAAAATATTCATGATGTGTTACAGTTACTAGTGGCTTTAATGTCAGAACACCCAGCTTCAATGATACCAGCATTTGATCAAAGAAATGGAATAAGGTATGATTATAATAGTATTCTTCTTACAATTTAATGCAGCACTGCTGTGCATCCTAGATGCTATTGTATAAACATTTGAATAAATGCAGCAAAATCTTACACATAAGAAAGGAATAAATGGAAAAAAACAGCTATCCATCCTCGCATACCCAAGTAAAATTATGAAGTTTATAGAAGATGGTCTCAGACATTAAGTAGATTAATTATTATTGCTTTAGAAACAACATTTCAAATAATTGGAAGAGCAGTTTTTTTTTTCCAAGTACAATAAAGAGCATGGTATGTTTCAGCAAAAAGAGATGCAAGAGAATTTTATGGCATTAGGCCCAAGAAAGAGGTAGAGGCCAGATATCAAAGGCTTATATTATGGTAATCACTTTAGGCTTTTTAATTTTTTCCTGTTGATGATGAAAATTGAAAAATTTTGAATGGGGAAATGATGTGCTTTGCCAGTTTTTTTTAGATTTATAATCAGCAGTTATGGAATATGAGTTGAAGGACAAGAGTGATGTAGCAAGATCAGCAGATATTATTTATTCATTAGTATTAGAAATGATGAATTGAGTCAGTAGCAGTGCAGTGAGAATGGACTTGAAAGTTAGATTGGAATGTGAAGCCCAAACCAAAAGATTCTGAAAGTTTAGTTATGGTGACTCTAACATAACTGGGTAGGTAGGGGAAGCATTATCTTGAGTAATAATCTCATGAACTAGAATCTGTAGTTCATTCCTGTAGGGAAATTCTCTTTTTATTTTCTGGAATTTGAGTTAGTGGGAAGAATAGGAAATATGGATTGTACCATATGTATCTCAATAAATTTTTACAAAAGAATTTAGAAATGACATATCAATAACTCCCAAGGCATTTTTTTTGTGTGTATGTTTCTTGTTTTTGGCCAGTTTTATTTGCATATAACAACTTTTTAGACTTGAAGACTTTCTCTTTCTTTTTTTTAAACTTGAAAACTCTTTTTTCCTTTAATATGAGACACCTGTCCTCCCCTTTTTTGACAACAATGTAGTGTTTTATTTTTGTTCTCAATTATAGTACATATTTGTTCTTGTTGTCATACAGAAGTAGTCTCTCTAAAATTCGATTTTATAACATCTAGTTTTTTCTCTGAAGTGTCTTTTAATATCTAATTTCAGCTGGCTATGTGCTGACTACTTCCCTTAGTTTCTGCCACAGGCTTAATGAAAATGTTCACCAATCCATCTCCCAGGATGGATTGCCATTTACCTCTTAGGGCCTTCATAGAATTTAATGAGATTATTATACCAGTGCTCTTTGAAGACTTGGATTTTTAGAAGAGTTCTCCAAAAGTCTCAAAAGATTTGTACTATGATTTGTTCATGAAAAATTAATTTTATAATTTTCAGTAAATGTTGAGGGCATCAGATGTTCAAATGAATGAACCCAAATATTGGAAACACTTACTGATATAACTAAATAGAAAGTATAGGGTCAGATGACTACGAAATCAGAATATATGAAAGATGTAAATATCTGAAAAACAAGTTGCCACCACCACTTACAATGTATTATGAAATCCGAAATGGAAATGAAACATGAATGTTGATAACAAGTCAATACTGATGTATTATTTTTGATAAATATTAACTTTCATTATAATAATACTACCTAATCAATCATATTTTACAAATACATTAATGAGAGAAAATTACCTTTAGTTCACAGTACAGTTTCATCAGCATCTTTTTGTATTTCATTTGATTCTTTTGTATTTTTATTGGCATATTATAATGTATTATTTGGCTATACATATTTTCTGTATTTTTATTGGCATATTACAGTTGTACATAATGTAGTTGTTGCTACATATTTGTACATACACAAAATATAACAACATAATTCAGTCATTCCCCACTATTTTTCCTTTCCTGTCTACCTCCCTCCCTTGCTCCCTTTCCTGTATTCTACTGCTTCCCCTTCAGAATTCATGAGACTCCCTTCCATCACAACCAGATTTCTATTCTTTTTTCCTCTGTAACTTGCACATATGAAATAAAATATACAATCCTTGACTTTATTATTGAATAAAACTCAATTTTCTATATATACCATATTTTCTTTATCTTCATCTATTTATGGACAATGGATGAATCCATTCATCTATTGACTAGGCTACTTTCATGATTTGGCTATTTGTGAATTGTGCTGCGTTAAAAATGGGTATGCATGTATCACTATAGTAGGATGACTTTAATTCTTTAGGATAAATACTGAGGAGTGGTAAGTGAGTTAAATGGTGGTTYCATTTGTAGTTTTTTCAGGAACCTCCATATTGATTTCAATAGTGGTTGTACTAATTTACAGTTCCACCAACAGTGTGAAAGTGTTTCTTTTTCTTCACATCCTCTCCAGCAGTTATTAATGTTTGTATTTTTTCCCCCTTTTTGGTGGTACCAGTAATTGAACTCAGAGGGAGTTAACTACTGAACCACATCCCCAGCCCTTTTTTATATTTAAAGATAGGATCTTGTTAAGTTGTTTAGGGCCTTGCAAAGTTGCTGAGGCTGGCTTTGAACTCGAAATCCTCCTGCATTAGCCTCCTGAGCCACTGGGATTACAGATGTGTGCCACTGCACTAGCTTGTTTATATTCTTAATGGCTCCCATTCTACTGACTTCATAATGTGAATTTGGATGTGTTCTATCCTTTTCTGTTCCATGCAGTGATTTGAGGAACATTGGCATTAGTTCTTCTAGAAAGGTTTGGTATTCAACTGAGAATCCATCTGGTCCTGGGTTTTTCTTTGTTGCAAGGCTTTTTATTAATTCTTCTAGCTCATTGCTAGTTATTGGTACATTTAGGTTTTCTGTGTCCTCTTGATTCCATTTTGGCATGTCACATGTGTCTAGAATAGTATCCGTTTCTTCTAGATTTTCTAATTTATTGAAGTATAATTTTTTAAAATAGTCCCCGATGATTCTCTGTATTTCTGTGATATCTGTGGTGATTTTTCCTTTTTTATATCTAATGTGGTCTTTTGGATTTCCATTTGGTTAATTTGGCTAAGGGCTCATCAATCTTGTTTATCTTTTCACARAACTGACCTTTTATTCTATTTGTTTTGTTTGTTTGTTCTCAATTTTATTGATTTCATCTTTGATCTTCCTTATTTCCTTCCACTGGTTTTAGAATTGGTTCTTGTTTTTTAAGGGTCTTGAGATAAATCATAATAACTAATGATTTTTTGGATTTTTCTTATGTAGGCAATCATAATGATTTTTTGGATTTTTCTTATGTAGGCAATCATAGCTATAAACTTTCCTTCTCCCTTCATAGTGTGTCTCTGAAGTTTTGGTATGTTTTGCCTGTATTCTCTTTTGATTCTAAGCATTTTAAAATTTCTACCCTAATTTCTTCTATCACTCATTCATCATTCAAAAGTGCAGTGTTCATTCTCTATATGTTTATATGTAGTTCCTATAGTCATTTTTTTGTGTGTTGATTTCTAATTTCATTCCATTATGAGCAGATAAGGTGTAAGGAATTTTATACACACACACACACACACACACACACACACACACACAATGTCTCTTAAAACATGATCTGTTTGGGAAATGGTTCCATTACCATTAAGAAAAAAGTATTTTTGACTGTTGTTTGATGAAATATTTTGTAGATGCCTGTTAAGGCCATTTGATGTATATTTTTAAGTTCCAAAGTGTCTTCACTGAGTTTATGTCTGTTGACATAACAGTGTGTTCACTGAGTTAAACTGTTGGTTAGAAAGTTGTATTGAAATCACCCAGTATTATTGTACTGGGGTCTAATTGAGTATTTAATTCAAGTAGTATCTGTTTTATATAATTAAGTACACCAATATGTGGGGGATCAATATTTATTATTATCATATCATCTGGTGGGGTTTTACCTTTACCAAGTTGAAGTGACCTTCTTTGTCTCTTATGATTAATTTTGGCTTGAGTTTTCTTTGTTAGATAGGAAATGTGCTACCACTGCATGTTTTGGGGTTGCTTTTGCAAGTTATATCAATTTCCATTCTTTTACTTTCAGCATGTGGCTCCCTTTGCCTGGAAGGTGAGTCTCTTGCAAACGACAGATAGTTAGGTCTTATTTTCTATTCCATTCTTCATGTCTTTCTTTTAATTGGATATTTGAGACCATTTACATTTATTGTTTTTATAGAGAGATGTTTATTAATTTCTGTCATTTTAGATTTACTTATAATGTACATTTTGGCCCTGTTTCACATTTGTTTAACCACTCTTCAAATGATAGTTGTTCATTTGTGAGATCTTAGGTTTGCTTTACATTTCTTCTGGGTGAAATATATCTTTAAATATGTTCTCCTTAGGGCTTGCTTAGTAGACTTTAATTCTTTTAATTTCTGCTTATCTTGGAAGGTTTTTATTTCTTTGATTATCAATAGCTTTTGTTGATATATCAGTCTTGGGTGACAGTTATTTTCTTTCTGGACATGGAAAAAATCAGTCCAAGTCCTCTGGGCTTATAGAGTTTATGCTAAGAAATTGGAAGAAATTTTGATGGTCTTGCCTTTAAGAGTGACCTGATGTTTTTCTCTTCAAACTGTCCTTTTTCTCCATGTTAGCAATTTTAATTTTAAGGTGTTGTAGATTCTTATTTGCTCTTGACTATATGGGATCTGAATAACTCCTGTATCTGGATGTCCATCTTATTCTCAAGGTTTTGGAAATTTTATGTTATTATTTCCTCAAAGAGGTTATCCATTACATTAGCTTGCCTTTTACAACTTTCTTCAATTACAGTGATTTTTAAATTTTCACTCTTTTATGTTGTCCCAGAAGTCTTGTGTGTCCTGATTATGGTTTCTTATTTTCATTAATACTCTCTACATGTTCAGGGTTGGCCACTTAATCTTCCAGCTCTGAGATTCTTTCTTTAGGATGCTTTTTTCTATTCGAGAGATTTTCAGTTGAGTATTTTGATTTATTGTATCTTTAATTTTCACAGTTTTTGTTTGGTTCCTTTTCATTGTATTTATCTCCAGATTGAATTTCTCATTCATATTCTGTGCTGAATTCTGTAATTAATTCAATTGTCTTCTCTAGGAGTTCATTGATCATTTTTATAGTTATTATTTTGAATTCTTTATTTGACATTTCATCTATAATCTATGATGCAAAATATATAGTGCACTTCTGTTACCACTTGTGTTGTTGTTCAACCTGGACTACTCATCTCAGAATATACCATGACACTTTATTTTAAAAAAAGACACTGATGTAAAGCATACCCTAGTTTTATAGTTGCTACTGCTACTCCTCAGAGAAACTTCTTAAATTTTAGAATTAATTGTAAATATAAATGATTTACCATTAGCTTTTCTTCATTATGTAAATATACTTTTTAATAAAAAAGGAGTACAATTTCTAAAGCACAAATATGTTATAATGAATATGACTACATTTTTTTGTATAGTATTAAAGTTTAGATAATGTGTTACTATAGGCTTTTTTCCTCCAAATAACAGGAAAATTGCTCAAATTATTTTCAGTAAAAATTGAATAATGTATAGAAAATATCATTAGAGTTGAAACTAGTAATTACAAAGCTATCAGGAAATAATTTTCTTTTCTCTTTTGCTGTCTATAGGGGTACCTCATTCTTCCTTCTGTATGTTACCTCTCTAAACAAAAACAGAACATTGCTGTCCTAGTTTCTTTTAAATATCAGTTTCTAATTAGGAGCCAAACAAAACCTATATATTGTTTGTTAGTTTACATCTTAATTCTCAAAGTCAAATATTGGGGGAGGAGATAAAGCCCTAACTAAGCATGTCTTAAAATTGAAAAAATTTTTTCAATGTCCTGGGAGGCAATACTTAGCAATAACTAATCACATTGTTTTTTGAGAATATATTTGTAGGCTATTTAAATAAAAATTAATGAAATGTACTTCATTTAAATTTTTCCAAACACTTGTAAAAATCCTGTAATATATTTTATGTGTTTTTAGTATTGGTAAGTGTATAAAATATAACATATATACTTTTTAGGGTGATCTACAAATTATTGGCTTCTAAAAGTGAAAGTATTTGGGTTCAAGCTCTGAAGGTTCTGGGATACTTTCTGAAGCATTTAGGTCACAAGTAAGTTGATTTTTTTTCATAATGAATTACAGAAATATCTATTGAAATTTGTTATGAATTTTGTAACATGAAATTTGGCTAGAAAAATTCTAACATTGAAGAATATTAACAAAATTCATAAAATTATTTTGTAATTTCTTATTAATATTAGATTATGGAACAAGATAATACACTAAATAATATAGTTTATTTCTGTCTTTTTCTGGAATTGAAAATATTGTTCATTTTAAGAATATAATAAAATATAAAATAAAGCACATAGTGTGAATTCATTGAAAACTTTCTTAACACAGGGACTACCATGTATTCACCTTAATCTTTCTCTAAGAGTTGATGTTAGACTTAAATGTTGAGTCAGTGTTTTATTATTATTTGTTTATATTTTTTCTTATTTAACAGTGAGGTCTTTGATTATGTTTGTCACTTAAGAATCATATACTGCCTAATTTCTTCATCCAAATCCAGAATTTACTTTTCATGTATGTAATAACTACTATTTTAATGTTTACAGTTCACAGTATATTGTGCAGTGCATGCTATTTCATGAACCTAGTTTTTGTGCAAGTCCACCTAAGAAAATAGTACTGTAACTTTAATATTGCTAGATGGGATTCTTCCTAGAATCTTACTGTTGCCAATTTTTTCTGTTGCTTATATTTGCAAAGAGTTTTTTCATAACATTGATGAAACTGTAGAAGATTAGGTACTCTAATAACATTTTGGAATATAGTTTTTTGTTTTGGTATCGAATCAGTAGCTAAGGGAGAATAGTGCTTTTAATTATAGAGAATATTTCACACAAACCCAGAATTGCAAAAAAGTATTACATACAAGTAAGGGTAGTATAAGTTTCCAAATAATAGGGTGCTGGCATATTTGATAGTACGGCATAAGGATTACTCTGGTAGCTTTGATTAAGTAAAAGAAATTGACTTGGATAAAATTAAAGGATTTTAGCCCTAGATCAAACTGAAGAATGCTCATTGAAAAATATAGAAGAAGGGTCGGAAGATGTAGCTCAGTGATAGAGCACTTTCCTAGGCCTTGGGTTCAAACCTTGATGCCATCAAATACATCACTCAATCAGTCAAAAACTAAAAATAAAGAAGATGAAAATCATAGATATTGTAAAATTAAAAACGATAAGCAGGCCATTTTCTGCATAAACATGGATGATTAAGATATCAACTTTCTCTTTTTCCTATAATATTCACAAATAATTCAGAAAGATGTAAATATAAAAGCCCTCACACAATTGTTTGAAAGATTGAAGGTAGATAAACTCCAGTATCTAGGCACTCTAAGCTATTACTGTTGACTGGTGAAAGCCACTAAATTTAGTGCAATTTGTGAAGAATTTAGAGAAAAGAAAATATGAAGAGAATGGTGAGAGGGTTCAGTGATAACAGATCTCACAAAAAGTGTCAGTGAATGTAGTTTCTGAAGTTTAAGGCTCACTTTAAGGTGCAACAGTAGACCCTTTTGAATGTTAGATACATTATGGCTGATAGCACAATCCTTCTTCTATCAAATTTGTTTCAGAAAAGCAGAAAATGCATAGCAAAGAATAATACATGAGCCATATTTGTAGGAAGCAGTCTGTTTCTGTGGCCATCAAGAAAGAAACAATTTTTAAATTGTGAAAGCAGAAACCTTACATACATACTTGGAAATCTTTTGCAAATGTCTTGGTTCAGGAAAATTAGATTATATCAAAAGTACAAAAAAATGGCACACATTCAGTACATATGTATCAAATAGAAAACTTGGGGTAAGGAGCAAAAGTAACTAAAATATGTAAGGAACACTCACCAGAAAGAAATATGTTAATGGACCATAAAATAATGTGATTTAATTTTTTGCTCAAGTTTAAAAAGTAAAAAAGGAAAGAATTGCTTCTGATGAAGAGTGGCTACCAACAAGAATTTTCARGAAGTTTAAGAAATGTTAACATAACATGGAAGTCTTGAATTATAAGCTAACAAAACTTTGGAAAAATTGTTGGAGGAAATAAAGTATCACACAAATAGAAATAAAATTGGAAGAAGCTCAAAGAAAAATATACTGTTTGACTAGCATAGGAAGATAAAAATGAAAAAAAAACAGTAATAATACATATAAAGGAAAAAAAATAATTTAGAAGAATGAAAGAGAAGGAAAATGAGTTCCAACATGGCATAAATGGAGTTTCCAAATTAAAAAAAGCAAAAAAATAAAAAATGAACAAGGCAAATATTTACATGATAATTTAATGCACTCATAAGATTTTACTTTTAGTTCGATTATTTAAAGACACACTGCAGCACTGGGGAAATTGACCTAAAATGATCAGCATGAAGGTGTATTATTGGACTTAAGTATAACAATTCTTTATATAATTCTATGGATATGGGGGGGGGCGCTGATCCTGGCTGTAGGCTTCTGTAAAACAACCTACAATATAGCAAAATGTAGAGCAACAATTATAATATACTCAGATGAAGAAACTGAGACTGAGCTATCCTTTAAATTAAAAGGTGCTGGAAAATAACTGTTAATCAGACAAGAAATTGTTTCTGTGAATAATTATTAAGAAAATTGCCAGAGACAAAGGTCAGCCAGTTAGCAATGAGTGGAGGATACAGTTAAGGACTGCTGGTAAACACTGAATAAATATAACAAAAAATTGAGATGAAAATAAATGTTCAAATTAGTATGACAGCAGATTTTTCATTTTTGGGGTCCTAATAATGTAGAAATAATACAGCTGTAATGAATTGGGAGAGGATGGAAGAAAGAAGTCAATTTRCATCTAAGGAGTCAATTTGTTCCCATATGAGCTGAGAAATTAAATATTAGAAATAGGGACCTAAAATTTGATAGTGAAGGGAGAGGAAAAWGTAAGAGTGAATATATTAACTTCATCATTGCCCCCAGTGAGGAATTTGACTTTCTAATCAATGGAGGATTACCTCTCATTTTATATTTACAAGAATAAGTATTTCAACAAAATGATAAACTTTCAAAATACTGAAGATCTGTGAATAAATTAAGAACATATAATGGAACTCTAAAAAATATATAATAGAAGATAAAATATGGCATTTTAATATATCTAAAACCAGGCAAATCTATCATAAAAAATAAATATTAAAATTTTAATCACCTGTTGTAAAACATCAATTTGTCATAGCAATAAGACCTTTACTTTTCAGTAAATTATAGTGTACCCATAAAATATTTTGGCATATTATACAATTCTAAAACAAAACCAATGAGATAACTTTCTATTATGTGGTATCACTACATTGCTAAATGATTTTAAAAAGTAAAGATAAATGTTTCAGATGCTATTTTTTGCATAAGAAAGATAATTAAGAACACAGTAACTTAAGAAAATATAGAATACATGAGAAACAAGAAATTGGTTAGATGACTTCTAATTCRACATTGGTGGAAACAAAGGTAGATATGATTTATTTTACTTTTTAGTTAATATGTGTGTTGCCTATTGAGAAATTTCTTCAATRATAATGTTGTTTTTAAAACTATAAACATTAAAAATATCAAGCATCTAATGAAATCTTGGAAGCATTTTCATTATTGGTATTAATGGAGTTGGGTTTAATAAAATTAATGACTAATGAGTTAAAATAGTTCTGTTTTAGCATTCATAGAGCATAGGACTAATGCTAATATTCTGTACTTAAATAAACAAAGAATTAACTACAATTTATTCCTATCAATGTATTTTAAAAAACCTCAATCTGTCAAAAATAACATGTAAAAGAAAGCATATATAGATTGAGATTTAATAAACAGATGTAATTGGTTAATAAAATACAGGTGGGATGTTGACTTAGCCACATATTTGCTCTGTGATCTTAGAAATATTTCTGAACCTTAGATTTTTATCATTTTAAGGGAGTAAAACTCTGTAGTGCTTCCCTCATATAGTGATTAATCAAATAACCTTGTGATAATTTGAACAGTTGACAAAAAGGGTAATGAATACATTTATTTCTTCACTATGATTAGATATTTATCTGAAACAGCTGACATCAAACATAAACATGGAACCCTAGTCGCATTCATATCAACAATGAGATAAAAGTGATTCCACTATAATTTAATCATTAATATTAATTATTTTTTAAGATTTGAAATAAAAATAAAAGACAACTGTTAGATGGGAAGAAATATGTATCATTAACTTTAGATGATTTGGTTCTATATTTATAAACCTAAGAAAACAACTTTAAAACTCTTGAAAAAAGAGATCTTACCAAACTCAGCATCTCATTTGTCTGGCAGTAAATCTACTTGATCTGAATTGGCCCTATCCAACACCTAGTTTATAATTTCTATAAAGTACATGAAATACAAATTGTGAGATCAACCCTACACTTTGTCAGCTGGACTAGCAATAGGTTTGACATTTCATTAAAATGGAGAAGTCTATTACAGGTAATATATGGAGCTACTCCCAACTCTAGAAACTTTAACTTGAAGTTCATCTCCTCTCCTTGAGTGTGGAAGGGACTTACTTGCTGGCTTCCAAAAATAGTGAAGCCTGGCATCTTTTTCACTATTGATCAAGGTCAACATCAGTAGTCATATGTTATGTTGATAATGTCCTTCCCGATATGTTGTGATGAGAAGGACACCTCACCTTTGTAGTATTCTCTTGCCTCCCCACAAAAAACCTTGGGACATTCACAAAGAAGCATCATATATCCCCAAATTGAGGGATGTTCTACAAAATGTCTGATTTGTACTCTTCAAAACTGTCAAGAACATGAAAACAAAGAATGGGAAACTGCCACATACCAGAATAGTTCAAGGAGAAATGATAACTGAATGAAAGGTGGGACCATGGATTAGATTTTTGAACAGAAAAGGGAAATTAGTGGGAAACTGGTAAAATCTAAGTTAAGTTTGTAGATGAGTTAATAATATCATATTAATGTTGATTTTTAAAGTTTTTATAAATGCACCATAGTGAGGGTTAACATTCACGC